CTGGCTTCTTTAAGATCATCTTGATTGTGGGTTATTACTAGGTACATTTCATAACTGAAGAAATGTAGAGTTAAAGGAATTTAGAAAACATAGCCAAAGTTGTACACCAGAGCTAATTTTTTTTTTTTTTGTCTGTCATGGGGCCTGAACTCTGGGCCTGGGTGCTGTCCCTCAGGTCTTCAGCTCAAGGCTAGTGCTCTACCACTTGAGCCACAGTGCCACTTTCAGGCTTTTTTTGTTTATGCAGTGCTGAGGAATCGAACCCTGGGCCTCAGGCATGCAAGGTAAGCACTGTACCACTAAGCCACCATTCCAGCCCACCAGAGGTAATTTTTAACATGAATGCTCTATTGGTGGGTGAGAGGTTCAGCTTGAAATGGCCAGGGCACAGGATGGGTTGGAGGTATCTTGTAAGTGGATGGGAGCTTAGGTATACCCAAATTCTGCTTCCTTAACTACTTGCTGACAGAGGTGGAAGGGATATGATTGCTCTGTACCTGGTGGGAAGAGAAGACAGTATGTGGGAGAGGCAGTTCATAACCAGGTGGGGGCAGCAGGCCTAGGGAAGTAGGGCTACCCCCAAATAGTGCATTCTCCTGAGGAGTCTTTACCACTCTGTGTCTATTAACAGGCCCTCCCAGACCAGATTAAAGGTAAAAAGCAGTTTGATTAACTGTAAATGTAACTTTGATCTCCTCAATTAACCTCTGATCCTGAAAAATGTTTCCAGAAAACTTTCCAAGCACACATGACAAGCTAGGTTGTAGCTCTGTGGTATGATGTGGCACATGCAGTACATGTGTCTGTGCTTAGTATGTAAGAGGCTTTAGGCTCCATCACTAGCACACCCACACACACACACACATACACAGACACACACACACATACACACACACACACACACACACACAGACATACACATCATAAACAGACCATATAAAAATCGCAGAGGCCACATAATGTATGTGGAAGGAAGGAGCCCTGTTTAGCCCTGTTTAGTAATAAAATAATGAATGCATTCTACTACAAAGGGAAGGAAAGAGAGGAAGGAACAGGAGCCAAATGAGCAATGGCCCCCCCAGAGGATAGTGTGACTTTTGTAGAGTACAATTGCCACAAAGAGTATAATTTGCTTTAGTAATATGGTTTTTCATTTGGTTTCCAAGACTTGTCAGAGAACTAGGGAGTAATACACATACATTCAACATATTAATTTTGTATACACGATTTCTTTGCAAAAGCATGGACAAATGTCATATGAATCACTGTCTGTTGACCTAAAAAGTGCTACCAAACTATACTGATCACACCATATCAGAAGACCCTGGAGTGATCCAAACTAAATCTACCTCATAGTAAGACCAGTCCATTCTTCTATTTAGAGTTGCACATATATCATAAGTAAAGATGCATCACAAGTAAGACCCTCAAATTCTGAATTCCAATTTAAAATTATTAAAGCAAGATACTTTTGTCTTTTTTTTTCTATTTTTTGGAGGCAGGGTCTTATAATATAGCAAAAGCTGGCCTAGAACTTAACATGCAATCCAAGTTAGGCTAGACTCTCAATCTTCCTGCCCCAGCCCCCCAAGGGCTGAGCTTTCAGATTGCTACCACTTCAAAGCTAAAGTAATTCATTTCATTTTTGGTGGTGATACTGAAGTTTGAACAGGAGACATTCTTTTCTTTGGTCAATTGTGGGGCTTGAACTCAGGGCCTAGGCGCTGTCCGTGAGCTTTTCTGCTCAAAGGTAGCACTCTATCACTTTGTGCCATAGCTCCAGTTCCAGTTTTCTGGGGAAGATTGGAGATAAGGGTCTTAATGACTTTTACTGCCCCAGCTGGCTTCAAACCAAAATCCTCTGATCTCAGCCTCCTGAGTAGCTAGGATTACAAGCATGAGCCATCAGTGCCTGGCTGAGACCCTGTATTTCTGAGGCAAGTATTCTACCACTTGAGCCAGTCCTCCAATCATTTTTGTTTTTGGTTCTTTTTCAAATCTGCCGTGGGCAAGCCAGAAACACTGTCCTACTAGCTAAACTTCCTGAGGCAATTAGATAGGATGTAAACTATAATGTTCTACTTGTTTCTTGGGATGACACTCTAGCACAGAGTGACCAAGAACTATAACCTCCACCTTCCAAACTAAATTACAGACATGAATCACTGCACCTTGCCTAAAGCAAGGTCTTTTAAATTTAGCTGTGTTTTCCTAGATGAGAGAGGAGGCGGGGAGATCCCACAAAGTTTTGATAAAAAGATTATTTACCAAACACCGTCATTCAATGTTTATGAAACCACATGATAAGATAGCACACAATGAACACATTGGCTGTTTAACTACTGTGAAGGAAAGAAACCAAGGGAAGGAGAACCGGTTTGAAAGCAATTTTAGGATTTCAGATACATAACTTTGGTGGCTGGCCAAATACCAGGGAGAATTTTCCTTCCAATTTCCTTTGAACAGCAGTAGAGATTTATGTAAGGCAGTGTAATTTAGTTGAGGAAAAACCGTGATTATGTCAGTTTGGCCTTACCCTTGGACTGACTTTACATTCTCTTGAGAGCTTGCTTGGCCTGCCCTGAAGTACTCAGTTCCAGAAAAAAATCTGCCCTATGCTATTAGAAAGAGTTTTTCAAGTACATTCCATCATAATTCTGATGGTTCACCAGGAGGCACTTGAAAAGATAAACACTTTGGTTGTCTCCTTTGTTTTTTATTTTGAACTTTAGTGTTGTTGTTTTTTGGTACTTTTAGTTTGCTTTGTTTTGATCACTGCACAGCTAATCTACAGTCTGCCTGCCTGCCTGTCTCATCTGCACTCTCATGACAAAACATACTGACTGTTTTAATGGCACTAATTTTGTTGTCCTCGTTCTACTGTCCCTGTGTGTCCAAGGTCACACTTAAGGATTTTTTAATGTTTTTCTTTTCATTGTTAGAATATTTTTCTGAAAAGGCCTGGGAAGGAGGACAAATTTTATTATTTCTGAGTTGAAAAAAAACTATGGTATTAGTTTGCATTCTAGTTAAAGGGGTTCCCTTTTACATCAGGGGCAAGAAATTCACACTGAGCAAGTTGTTCATGAGCCGATGGTTACCCTTACTATTATAATCATAAATTCACTTTCAGATTTAGATCAGAAGACACTATGGCTTTTAACTGTCAATATGTAGGGCTTGTACAGGCTAAAAAGAAGGCAGAAAGAAATAATCCTTAACTTAAATTCACATCTTATACCAGAAAAACTCAAAATAATCTGGAGACATAGAAAGTGAAATAATAAAAAAAAAAAACCTTTAGAAAAAACACACAAATGTTATAATTTGATGTCAAAAGCACAGTTCATAAAAGGAGAAAATGACAAATTAAACCACATCAAAAATTAAAACTTTTTGCTCTATAAAAGACACTGTCAAAAGGAGGGGAAAACAAGCTACATACTGGCACAAAATACCTGCAAACCAGCTATTAATCATTTATGAGGACTATCAGTCCTTATGAGGATTAATAGCTGGTAATGTACAAAGGACTCTCAAAATTCAACAGTAAGAAAACTATTTACTCTAAATTCCCTATTTTTCTAATGTCACATCCATTATTATATACCTGACTTCTTTTCCCAACTTTGTTACTTTCTGTTGTCCTAACAGCAGGGGACATTTCACTGCAATGAGTAGTTTTAACTCTTGTTTTTCAGAAATCCTCATTTATGGCCTGGGAAGGTGGCTCAGTGGTAGAGCGCTTGCCTTGCATGCATGAGGCCCTGGGTTTGATTCCTCCGCACCACATAAGCAGAAAAAAACAGCCGGCGTTGTAGCTCAAGTGGTAGAGCACCTAGCCTTGAGGTGAAGAGCTGAGGGACAGTGCCCAGGCCCAGAGTTCAGGCCCACGATCAGACCCAAAAAAACAAACAAACAAACAAAGAAATCCTCATTTATAATTGTGATTTCTAACTGGAACACGTCCTTGGGAGATAGCTCAATAATTGGATCCTGACTCTTTGCTACATAAATGGACAAAGTACTTCCAATCTTAGTTACCTTACTGATAAGTTAAAGATAAAGCCACCTGTTTCACAGGCTTATTTTGAAGATACTTACACACAGAAAGCCCGTAATTTTTTTTCTTCTTCTCATTAAAAACCTAAAATGCAGCTTGATTTTGGGATAAATACCTTGACCAAAAAAAAAAAATCCTTGGTTTTAGTTCCAAGGCTTCTTTCTATTTGGAAAACAGGAAATACATCTCTAAGGAGTATAGATGGTGGGTTAAAGTGAGGCTTGAAAATTGTGGATGAAGTGAGACTAAATTTAGTTCTTAAGAATTTCAATTTAGGAGAACACAGTGATTATTTTAAGCCCATGTTGTTTAAGTCTGGGAAGCATAGCATAGCATTTATTATGATAAACCAATGACAATCATATTGGTATTTAACTGCATATAGTAAGCCAAGACAATCAAATACTAGGAAATAAATGTATATATTTTAGATAAGCTCAAGACTTAAAGAAAAAACACTTTTGAATCAAATGATGCTGTTTCACACATTTCATCTCCCTTCAGAAATACTTTTTAAAAAATGAACTCCCCCCCCCCCAAAAAAAATGAACTCCCCACAAAGTGATAAGCTTTGAATGTGTCAGAGATTTTCAGTTATAGGTCAGCTAAGTAAGCTACTGAATGGTAAAATCTAAACATCTATGATTTGAATTTCAAGGTAAGCGCTGAACCTATGTGCAGGTCAGTCATGAGAGTTGGGTTCTCTGGGCAATACTAACCTGAAAAAACTGACAAAGTTGGAAAGCAGAGAAGCAAGTGTTATTCCTCTCATATTAATGTTTAAAAGCACAAGGGAAAGTATACTTAACTTTTGCTGGTTACTTGCTCTACTTATGAACAGTCATAAAACACAAAGTACCAAGGAATACTTCAAGACAATCTCCTCTCAATTATTCTTTTTAAACTATGGATATAAGTTTGCAGAATGAATGCTTACCTAGCAAAATAGCTTTGTTTTCGTTCCTTCTTCTCCTCCTTGGTATCCATAATACACAACCAAAAGTGCAAAGTATTTGGAAAAGTTCTTCTTTTTAATCAATGACTCATAGCCCTGTAATTAAAAAATAAGAAAGCAACTATAAGTGAACAAGTTTATAATGGCCAATGTGAAGAAGAAAGCAGAGTAGAGTTACAGGACCCAAAACAAATGAAAGATAAACTTTAACCAGGAAACACAGTCACATGAGTCCAATACAAAATGTAAATGCTCCCTGGAAGGGGTGGTACAGGGAGGCAAATCACAAAACTACAATTGGAATTAAACCACAAGTCAGAATGTTGATGGAAAACCAATCCAAAGTACTTTCCTCAAAATTAACACTTATTTCAAAATGGACCCAAGAAAATTTATACTGACTTGGGGAATTATAGGCTAACTTTGTAGATGCTACTTACTTTTTAAAATAATAAACTCATAATCACTCTTTCCAATAACTAATAATGAACATGTCTCATAGACAATTATGTGGCATGGCTCTCTTAGGTGTTTGACAAGAATAATAAAAATAAAAATCACTTTGGTGATCTCTTGTATTTTGGATTAACACCCCAGCCAGAACATTCCATTTGAGCAAATGTAGAAACGAAAGGACAAGGATCAGGAAACCACTCTCCTTCCGGGTGTGTTCTCAATTCCCTGCTTCCTCTCTCCACTGATATCCTCACCTATGCTTACTAGCCAAGGTTTCAACCATTAATGAACGCTGTCTCCAACTCCAAATTCCTTATACACCACTCTCATTGTGTCTACCTATTGCCTGCTTCAATCTAAATTTCCTGCAGAAATGTTTACACTCCTGTACCCATCCTTTCACCTTGAAACAAAACCATTTTCACAAATCGAATTTTAGTATTTTTAAGGTGGCAAAGAACATTCATGGATCAAAATTATTTCCTGAATTCATTAAACAATGTAATCCTAATACATAGTGCATGAAAAGTACTGTGATAAGTACCAGAGCTGCAGGATAATGGGACATGATATTTGGTCTAATGGAATTTATTGTCCTGTGAGAGAGACACAGGATTTCAAGGTAATGAGATAAGGGCTGTGCTGGAGGAGACACAGAATGCCACTGGAGTCTCCAGGAGGAACGATTAGCTCAATGGAGACATTCAGCTACGTACATATTTCAAAATACCATGCTGTACATAACAAAAATACGTAATTTTTACCTGTCAACTAAAAAAGCAAACTTTTAAGTCATAATACTCAATGCTACCTTCTCTCACCCACCAAGCTTATGAGTATGGGCTTCCCAACTAAAGATCCAGCTTGATCAAAAGCGGAGAGATACAAGAGTTCCCCATTGCTCCTGTTGAAGCGTGAAGCAAAGGCATGGTGTGAGCTGAAGACAAAGGCTCAGAAAGGAACAGAGCCATAGAAGACCTTGTATGTCTGCTAAGCAGCTAAAACTTAGACATTATCTCCCACTGGCCAACCCTACACTGCAGCTTGTTTGTCATCACTAAATGAGGATGCTGGACCGACAGCAGCACTTGCAAACAGTCACTACCAAATCTGGCAGAGCCAGTTCTGAGATAAAACCAATTTTCTCACCCCTCACACACACACACACACACACACACACACACACACACACACACACACACACACACATATGGAAATCATCAAAGGGTTTCATAGGAGGGATTATGACATAATCATAATATAAAGAATTCAGTTGGTAGGATCAAGAAAGTAGTCTCATGAGAAGTTATAGTAAATTACTTAAGGCTCCAACCTCAGAACCAAGAGACAAGACAGAGAGGTATGAGTGTAAGAAGTATTTAGAAGGCAAATAGATTATTTCATAAAAACAACATAGGAGGAATGAAAACCACCCTCCAAGATTCTGCAGTGACAAGGCAGATTATGACAGCAAAGATACCATGAAATAGCATGAAGAGGACAGACTGGGCAGGGAATAGAGAAGACCAAGATTAGAAATCAGTTGTGAACATGTTATCTTTGTAGTGCTCATTCAAAGTTAAAATTCAGCAGACATTTTATAACATCAAAAATTCAGAAGCCAGGTGTTTGTGGCTCATGCCTGTAATCTTAGCAACCTGGGAGGCTGAGATCTAAGGACTAAGGTTCAAAGCCAGCCTGGGCAAGAGCAGCTGGCTATGAGACTCTTATCTCTAATTAACTACCAGAAAGTGTAGCTATTACTCAAAGTGGTAGAGTACAAACCTTGAGCGAAAGTTACTCAGTAACATTACTCAGGAACTGAGTTCAAGCCCTATGACCAACAAAATAATGATACTAATAACAACAACAATAATAATAATTTGAGAGAATAAGGAGAGCTAGAGAGAAATTAGAAATTATCAGCATATGGTTGTGGTTAGAAAGAAAAGAAAAAAATAACATGATGATGAGATCACTTTGAATGCTTGACAATTACCCATAAGGCCCTGCATAGAAACAATGGAAGACACAGTAACAACACAGCTTGTTCACAAATAATATGGGCTCGGCCCTCAAGGAGTTTATGACCCAGTGGGGAAAAGACACAGCAGATAAACTGTAAGATAGTAACTGGGAGCTGGACAATGAATAATAGTAAAAATCTAGAACACAGGAGGTTCAAATTTAATTGAGATGTGTAATAAAACAAAATTTTCAGGGCGATTAGGGTTTCAATATGTAATGAAGAGAGAGAAAAAGAATTCCATAAAGATGGATTATCTAAAAGAGCAGGGCATAGTCAGACCAGCAAGACAGTGGCTATTGGTACAACCACAGAGATACAGGACTAGAGCTAGAGAACTAGACATAAAGGTTAGCCACAAACCTGTAAGGGGAACAACCATACAATGATTCAGAAACCTTTATTTCTAAGAAGCTGAAACAGAAATGCCAATTCATTTCCCTAATTCAACAGTACTAGCTACACTGGAACTAGCTACACTGAACCCATTTGGGGGCACATTCTTGTCTTTCCACAGAAGGCAATTGAAGTGTCCAGTACCTCAGCATAGACCCTATGGGTGGGAGCAATCGGAGGTAAAGTCATTGAGGAGTCATTGAAGATCTCCAACAGCACTGTATCAATGGAGGAGTAGGAGTAGAAGCCAAGCAAAAGTGAATTGAGGTAGGTAATATTCATTCAAGGGTCTGAGTGATGAAAGAAGAAAAAGGAAAGATCATGGCTGAGTGTCCTCCTCTCCTGAGTCCCATCGTTGTTTGGATGCACTGACCTCCTCAACTCTGGATCAATTAGAAATATCTTTCCCCAAACCTGACATCATTTCCTGTTCCCTCTCTTCCCTAATTCTACTTGACAACACCCCTGACCAATTGTGTACTCTCTCTCTCTCTCCCTCTCTCCTCTTCAGGAACTTATTCCACTTGATATCTATACTTACTGAGAAGTACTTAATAGTGCCTGGTGAAGCAAGGCCTGCTCACTTAGCTTCCTCAACTCTAAGAACAAGTTGCCCTCAAGGCAAACACCCCCATGTTTCATATGCTCCTTGTACTTTCCTAAACACCTGGCACCACACCACTGGTACCACAGTATATAAAAAATCCACATCAAAGCTAAACAAAGAGTTAAATTAAACCAAACTTGGGGATAAAGTCAGTTATAGGACAGACCAATACAAATTGAAGGACTCCTCTGAATGAAGAAGTATCTGAACACACAGGATATAGCCTTTGCCAGACTCTCCCAGATTTCTGAAAGGATTAGAATCCACATCTCTCTGCCCTGCTGTGGGCCAAGTGGTTTGTTTTGAAGTTTCTCTCCTGTGTGATACAAATGATCTGTTTATTAGGTTTCTCCTCATGAATAAAAATGAAGTCATAACAACCTAATTGGATTTTTTTATATTGCAAGCTGAGCCAGAAACTAATGTTTGATTCCAGGAAAAAAATATTGACAGAAAGGAACAAAAGAAAAAAGAGTAAATGATCCAAGAACTGACATCTGGTGCTGCTGTGTCTATTTAGAACTCATCGGGCTTTTTTAAATATATATATTCTTTTAGGTAAATTTTTTAAAGACATGGTAATCTTTCACTTCCTTTCTGTGTAACTTTTTTATTTCCTTAAACAAGACAGATGTAATCCTTACAGCCAGAAACACACCAGTAGATTAAACAGAAGTAGGTAGGTAGAGGGTGCTATAAAAATGATTTGCACAGAACAGAACACCATACAGCAGCCTTCATGCTTCAGTGCAGAACCAAAGCTCTTTAAATCAATTTCTAATGGGAACTACATTTTCCATTGTAAGTGGTTATAATGGGCTCTTAAAAGCCTTCAGTTCATTTAATGTTGACTTTTCCACACATCAATTTACTGTAGACTCATTCAAACAGTAACTTAGAAGAGTTTCCTGCATTGATGGTGTATATAGACCAAAAGGAATTGTATAAGGGAACACAGGATGGATCTGTCTAAACATTTCTTTTTGCAACCTTAAATCAGAATAGTCAATTAAATCTAAATTCAGATAGTTATTGGGCAGCCAGGTAATAGTGTCTCATAAATAATCCTAGTTACTTAGGAGGCCAAGATATGAGAATTGAGGTTTGAAGTTAGTCAAGGTAGACAAATCTAAGAGACCCTTATTTCTAATTAACCAGCATAAGTGAAAATGGAGATATGGCTCAAGGGGTAAGGTGCTAGCCATGAGCCAAAAAGCTGAGCAAGGTCCAGAGTTCAAGCTCTAGTACCAGCACAAAAAAAAAAAAAAAAAAAAAGAAAGAAAGAAAAGGCACATGAGAATGGGCCTCCCCTATAAGACATGCATTTTGCATTAAAATGGAAGTGTTTTCTTTTTGAGAACACAGCACTGTTTAAAGAGAATTTAAGCAGAGAACTATCAGAGACCTCCTTACTGCATCAAACCAGTATGAACTATGCAGAACAAGGAAGGGCCTGAACTCCACAGCTCCCTGAACTTACTTCTAACCTGTCAGGGCTAATCTAGGGTATCTATCAGCTGTTTTCCCAATAACATATTTCCTACAAAACAAATCAATGACAGGAACACACATTGAAGCTTTATTGTTCTAAGTTTGGCCAGTTGCTGAACA